GACCTGTGGAAAAAATTTCAACTACAAAAGTGCTTTGATTACTCACATGAGAACTCACACAGGTGAGAGACCTTTCTCATGTCAGACCTGTGGAAAAAGTTTTAACTACAAAAATGTTTTGATTACACACATGAAAACTCACACAGGTGAGAAACCTTTCTCTTGTGAGACCTGTGGAAAATGTTTCAACTACAAAAGTGCTTGGATTATTCACATGAGAATTCACACAGGGGAGAAACCTTTCTCATGTCAGACCTGTGGAAAAAGTTTCAGCTACAGAAGTGTTTTGAGTTCTCACATGAGAACTCACACAGGTGAGAAACCTTTCTCATGTGATACCTGTGGAAAAAGTTACCGTGATAGAGCAAGTTTCAGAAGCCACATGACAACTCACACTGAATAAAAGCCTTTTACTTTTTCCTTCTGGAAAAGTTACAGTGAAAACAAAAGTGAACACCACATGAGAATTCAAGTGAAAGACCGTTCTCCTGTCAATTGGAAAAAAATTTTTTTCAAAAAACGTGTTTTAGTCACACACAAGAACACGTAATCTTGTGAATCTTGTAACTTTCTCAGACTTTGGAGATTGCTAAAACACAAAGTTGACAAGTTGGAGTCAGAAGTTCATTAAACTCTAGTCTTAAAACACCAGTGGGAAAGGTTTGTCTGAAAGGTAAAACAAGAAAAAAAAACTGTTGCTTGTCGTTCAAAAAATACAATTAATTGAGTAATATTTTTTTCATTTACCCTTTTTTTTATACAGGTAGCCTCATTGAGTTACGAGAACTCATTTTCAAGAGAGGTTAAGGGCCTTGCTCAGGGGCCCAGAGTGGGGCGAATGAGGGTGGAGGCAGAGTTGAACCTGTGACTTTCCGATCACAGGCCCATCTTCTAACCTCGGCGCCACCACTCCCCCAACATGCACAGTTTATTCTGACTTTAAAAAAATCTTGTATTCCCTTTAAGACTGGCATTGTGGGTAATGTAGTTGAGTTTAACAAAGTAGAATACACCAGTGGAATGTGTGCAGACAGTAGAGATTAAGATAAATTCACTTTAGAGAGATAATGTTTTTATTCTTTAATGGTTTAGAATTTGTATTGGTAATCAATGAATTGTGATTATTTTTTGTTGCCATTTAAGATCCGAGGTGTTTAATCCTGGTCCTGGAGGGCCACCGTCCTGTCAGACTTTTCTTTGCTCCAACACACCTGATTTAAATCAGCTGTTTCTGCAGAACATGAGGGGGTAATTCATCTATTGAATCAGGTGAGTTGGAGCAGGGAAATTAGTAAAACATGCAGGATAGTGGATCTCAGTGACTACAATTAGAAACCCCTTATTTAGATTGTGTTCAGTATTTTATCTTTTTTTGTTTCTATCTGACGTTTAGAATATGTTACAAAAATACCTGGTGCTGAAGTTCTGAGGTGTACAACTCAATATTAAAGTCCACATTATGCATTTTTCTTGAACCACAACTGTTCTGCTTCATAAAGTTTAAGTTGTTTTAGACTTTAAAAACTTTGTTTTTCTGATATTTTTGGTCTGAACATGTTTCCATGTCTGTTCAGGAATCTTCTTGTTTCTCCAAACTGAGATCACTTTGCCTGCCTGAAAGTGTTCCAGAAAATATTAAACAGATTTTATAAGTAATGATTTTCACATCAGAAATCACTTTAAACAAATCAAATACAAATTAATTGACTTTCTTTGGTTTCTGTAACAAATAAAAGGCTGCTCTAAACTGTACTTTAACAAGTAGGCTTTTGAAGTATAAAGTATTCTAAATGTTACTTATTTTTCTGCCTTGCCATGTGTTTAGTCTGTAGATCTTTTCGTTGACCACTAAGCAGTTTTGAGGACTAATAGAATCTCAGGAAAAAATTCTAGCTTTGCTCTTGAAATTCAGTTGCTCTTACGCTGGTTATGTTGGGTGGATTTTCACAGATGGAAAATGTTAATTTTTGCAACAATAATAAAACTCCTAAACATTGCATTTATACTTGTAGGGAAAAAAGACCACATGAAAGTGTTGTATGTTCTTATATTCATGAGTAAATTTTTAGAATAGTTAAATGTTTTCTTTGAATATGTTTAGTATCAGAAAAATAAAGCCCCAGTTGTTGGAAAATGATGTCCTCTCTTTGTTGCTACTGTAGAATCAGAATGAAGTTTTTTATCTACAAGCTGCAGATAAACAAAGCTGTTAAAATGTGAAATCAGATCTACTGTCAAATCATTTACTGTTCTACCCAGTGAAGTTGCCACCTGAGTTATACCATACCATTTTATTTATAGGGCACTTAAAACAGTGACAAGGCCAACCAAAGTGCTGTACAGACAGAACAACAGGTAACACACGAAGCAAAATACAAAATGAGGTAAATCAGAATATAGACAAAAAACGATGCAGATAATGACAAACCAGTGTGGAGCATACAGGTTCAAAACACAGATCCTCTGGTGTTGAAAGCTACTGAATAGTAGTGAGTTTTTAAACGGGACTTGAAAACCGAGAGGGAGGGGGCCTGTCTGACAAGCAGAGGTAACTCGTTCCAAAGTCTTGGTCCTGCTACAGAGAAGGCCCTGTTCCCTCTGCGCTTAAGACGAGTTCCTGGAACTGTGAGGAGCAACTGGTCCGCTGACCTCGGGGAACGTGGAGGGACATACAGCTGTAACAAATGGGGGGGGGGGGGGGTGAACCGGTAGCCTGTGCAGTGAGGCCAAAACTGGTGTAATGTGCTCTATTTTGCCTGTACTGGTTAAAAATCGTGCTGCTGCATTCTGGACCAGTTGTAGTCGTGCAATGGGGGTCTGACTGATACCAAACAGGAGTGAATTGCAGTAATCAAGCCTAGATGTAATGAATGCATGTATTACTGTCTCCAGGTCATTTCTGGACAATATGGGCTTCAGTTTAGACAGCCGCCTCAGTTGGAAGAAACATTATTTAACAATCATGTTTACATGACTGTTAAGTTTCAGGGAAGGATTCATTATCACTCCCAGATTAGTGACTCTGTTTTTCTGACAGGGTTAGAGCGGAGAGGTCGATGCAGTGGTACCACTTGGTGGCCAGAGGCAGTTCCGCTGTCATCATCGACTTCGGTTGATGTGGCTCGGGCATTTATCTCTTCCTGGTGGTCCCAATTTGGTATGCCATTGGACTTGACTTCTGACAGGGGTCCCCAGTTCACCTAAGAGTTATGGACTGCAGTGGCAGAGAGCCTTGGGGTTAAACTCCACCGTACTACTGCCTACCACCCGCAGGCTAATGGTCTTTGTGAGAGGTTCCACCGCTCAATGAAGGCTGCATTGTGGGCCTTGTTGGTGGATAATGGTTGGATGGATTGCCTGCCTTGGGTTTTGTTGGGCTTGCGTTCAGCTCCTAAAGAGGACCTGCAGTTTTCTTCAGGTGAGTTGGTCCTTGGCCAGCCTTTGTGGGTACCAGGGGAGTTTCTTCCAGGTCCGGTGGGTTCAGTTGCTCCCAAGGGGAGTAGGCCGGTCCTAACAGGGGAAAATTGATCCGTTGCCGCATTGGCAGCACATCATTGCCTTCCACAGGTGTTTGTGCTGAAGGACCTTATGTTGACCAAGTATGTATTTATCTGCTATGACGCACACCATTCACCACTTCAGCCTCCTTATAATGGTCCATTTCGTGTTTTGGAGAGGGGACCTAAAGATTTTTTGGTGGAGTTGGAGGTAATCAAGAGAGTGTTTCAGTGGACCGTTTGAAACCAGCTCGTGTGTTACCAGGGGACCCGGTTGAGTTGGCTCAGCCACCTCATCGTGGCCGTCCCCTAGTTTCTTTGCCCACTCTCCCAGGTTTTCCCCTACAGCTGGGTTGCCTCCCTCAGGTGAACAGTTTAGTGGCAGTTGGTCTGGAGAGTCTCTTCACTTTCAACCCCTGTCGCTGTGAAGAGCAGCCATGGTGGCCGCCTTATTAAACTCCCTAGCCGTTACCATTAGGTATTTCATTTATTTATTTATTAGTGTATGTGTTTTACACCTGTAATGGGTTTCACAATTTATAATGTGTTTTTGGTGTTTGTGACATCCTGTGTGTTCAGGAGGGGCCTGTGTGGCAGACACAAATGTATATATTTCACGTCAGAATGTGCTCTTATTGTGAAAGGGACAGAATATAAAAAGAGCAGGTCAACGGTTGTAAATCATTTTTTCTGAGCTTGATGTTGGAAGATGTAGAGAATAAATCGAGACTCAAAATATTTTTCGTCTCTTTCTGCGGACTTCCACAATTCTTCATTAAAGTTATTTCGGTGTGTGCAATAAAAATCAAGATTGCCTGATTTGACAGCAGCATTGCAGATGGCCAGAAGAGGTCACTGTAACTGAAGCTTCAAAAAAATGAACCAATTTTTGAAACATTTGTCCCTAGTGGTTCGGGCAAAGCTTCGTTTGCTCATCACTACAGATTAGTGCTGGGTGACAACATATTTTTTTAAATCAAGTATTTACATTGAGCGCCAACTCCCGTCAATTACTATTGTTCTCTTCATTTCAACAATTCATTCTTAATGAAGGCGGAAATAAATATGCAGTTTCTGCCGGAGCTTTACAGTGTGACACCACCGGAAGTCAACAAGGCGCTAGCAGTGTTAGCATAGTTAGCTCTATGTTTGTGGCTGTTTGTGAGAGGTGAATGTGTTGAGTGTGTGCAGCAACAATGTCTTCAGT